CCTGCCGCTGCTTTTTGGGGGGGGTCCGAGTTGGGGAGCGGGAGCCCTGACCTCTGCTCGTTATCCTCCCACAGAGCGGTGCTCGCATTAACATCTCAGAAGGGAACTGCCCCGAACGGATCATCACCCTCGCTGGACCCACCAATGCCATCTTCAAAGCTTTTGCGATGATCATTGACAAACTGGAAGAGGTGCGTCTGCGGCCTCGGGGCCCGCCCCCCCCCCTCCCCCACCCCCCCACCAACCCCCCCCCCCCCCCCCTCCACGCAGCCCGCAGCAGGCTGCTGCCCTGCCTGCAGACATCCTTCACCCCTGTCCCTGGATAAATTTACCCTGGGATCCACCCCAGAGCGTGCTGGGGGGGCCGGAGCACGAGAAAAAGCTCTTCCCTGAGGGATGAGCAGCAGGATGGGCTCGTTCTGCATGGGCTGGCGGTGTTTTCCCCGTGGGGCCTGATCTTTGCCTGGCTGCGAGCAGGGTCAAGGTCCAGGTAGTGACACTTCCCCGTGTGCGCTCAGCCATCCTTAAGCGGCTGCTCGCTGAGTGCCAGAGCCCTGCAGGGACTTTCCTGGGCTGAAAACACCCCGTGGCCACCGGTTAAACAGCTTAAAACAGAGCAGGGCTTCGAAACTCCCCGGGCTTCGCTTGTCCTCCTGGGCGGTTGTGCTGGTTGCCCTTCGGCACGCCTCGGTGGGCAGCGGGGGCTTGGCTCCATCTCCGGTCCTGCTGAGGAGGGGACCTGGGGGTACGGCTGCGCAGCGCTTGAAGGAGGAGCTGCATCTTGCCCCTGGTCCCGTTGAATCGGTGGCTTCCAGGGGGGATGTTGATCTTGGATAACCTGGATCTCGGCTGCGGGTGTTAGAGCCTGCTCAGGGCCGTGGTGTCGAGGAGCTTTCCATCCTGCTCCACATCGTTTGGAAGGTGCGAGTGCTCCTTGCCTGGTGCGGGGCAGAGCTCCGTGGCCCTCGCCTCGCCTGTGGGGGTAAAAATCCTGTTGCCCTTTGGATTTGGGACCCTTCCCTGGGAGGAGACAGCCCAGTGCTGGCAGATTTGTCCCCAAGGCCCCTCTGCTCTCGCTGCTGCCTAAAAGGCTGCTGAGCCCAGAGCTGTTTCTTGCTGTGCCCCGAGAGCCGGAGTCCTCCGAGGGCTCCCCGTCCGAGTGTGGCTCCTGGCTGCCGGTGCTCCGAGCGCTGGGCTCGGAATTAAAGCTTTTATTTTAGTAGGTCAGTTGAGCCGTGGCCTTGTGCCTCCCTTCCCCCTGCCAGCACATGACTGCTGTAATCGGCGCCGGGCTTGTTTTTCTCCAGAGCTGCTCCTGCCCTGATCCCCCGTAACGACGGGGGGCTGAACCGGGAGCTGTGGGTGCACCCAGCCCCCAACCACTTGTACCCCTCCAGCACCGGCACAGCCGGTTCCCGTTTGGCTGCGGCGTGACCCAGCTGGTGCCTCTGCGCTGGGCTGGTGGGGGTTAAACCCCCATTTGCATTGAGGCAACGGAGTTTGGCTTTTTCCTCCTTCCCTAAAATGTGGCCGTGTCGTTTCTGGACTGTTAACGAAGTCCTGGGAAATAGGACTGGGAGAGCCCTGGGGTCACCTTGGTCCGGCCTGCCTGTGCCAGCGTCATCCTCCCCATCCCTCTGCCGGGCACGTCACCTCCCCGTGTGCCGTTCTGGCGAGGGCACCGCGCTGGGCTGACCCCTCTGAGTAACTCCTCTTCCTCGCAGGACATCAGCAGCTCCATGACCAACAGTACAGCTGCCAGCCGGCCCCCGGTCACCCTCCGGCTCGTGGTACCCGCCAGCCAGTGCGGTTCCCTCATTGGAAAGGGAGGCTGCAAGATCAAAGAGATACGAGAGGTGCGTGTTGGCCAGCCCCGAGGGGAGATGCACGGGCTCAGGGTGCCCCCAGGGGCAAATCCTTGCGTCAGCCCCCACCCTGGGTGGTACCACATAGTAGAGACGTGGCATCATTCGACCTTTTTAGAGCTCCTTGTATTTTTAGTGCTTGTGAAACTGAGACTCGGGGGCAGACCCTCCCCTTCCCGGCACTGTCCCCCACAGCAGGACGCCTGGCTTCCTGCTCCCCCCTTCCCCGGGCTCTCGATCACACCACACACCGCCCCCTCCCCGGCATTTTCCCAGTTGTTGGAGTTGTTGGAGGGGGGCAATGCTCTGCCAGGCCTGCGCTGCCCTTGGCCGGGGAATCTGTCCAGCTCCGCTGGCTGGGCTGCCGAACTCTGTCCAGCTCCGCTGGCTGTGGAGACGGGCTTGACTTGGGTTACAGGTTACAGCTGCAGCCCAGGTTCCTCCTCTCCTGCCCTGGGTTCCTGATGACTGAATTATTTCCAGCTAGGATTAAAGGACTTTATTTTTGGGGGAAG